ATTTTAAACAGGTTAGTCTCATGTAAAAATCAGTCCATGAGTCAATCTGAATTTAACTTATTTATCTAACTTGACGAAAAATCTAACTGAATTTGACCCATTTATTAAATTGGTCAACTTGAATCCAATTTTTTTTATCGAATTGACGGGTCGTGCCATTTATTATCACCCATAGTCATGATTTTGAATTTAAATATGTATAAATTATGACACAAATTTTTTTTTAAAAAACTGATTTTTTGCTATTAAAAATAAATATATACTAATATAAAATAAATCCTAAGTTGAAGCTAATATAGCCTTATTAGTTCCTAGCAAAATGCCAAATTAAGAAAGGTTGATGGCAGCTTTCAGCAGGTACGCTGCATCACGTGATCACATTCAGTGGGTTAAATGTGAGCGCTTGAGCACGTACACGTGTGCACAGTGTGACAGTTATGCACCTGGCTGATGCTACTTGTCTTACATTCAAAAGCTTTAAAATAATTAATAAATTAAAGTTAAATGAAAAAAATATTAAACAAATTTGATATGTGGTATTTATTTAATATTGAAAAAATGTAGAATTATGTAATTTTTTTACAATTAAATTAAACAAATTATTAAATATTATTATAAATTATATAATAAACTAATAAATTTATTATAATACTTATATACATAAAAATTTTATTTCAAAATATCTCTTCAAAATTACTTGATTTAGGTTGAGATTAATGATAGATGGGATGTTCTAAGCCTAATTAATATTAGCATAGATCTAAAATTTTTGAAATCATGATGAAGCATCATGCATTAGGATATTCTTATATAATTTTTTGTTTATATATAATTAGCATAAAATGTTAAATATAACAATTTTTTTTTTAATTTTTATAATAAAAATTAGATTAGAATTAAGGGTGTGAGTCAACACGACTTGTGAGCGACTAAACTCATGAGTTGACTTAGATGAGCTAACGAGTTAAGTTTGAACTAGTCTTGATTCGACTCATTAGTTTCCAAGAAGACTCTTTTAAAAAATAATAATATAAAATATAATTAAAATATAATAAAATTCAAATGTTTAAGTATAAAGCTATTAAAAATATTCGTAAGTTATATCTTATTTTATTATATCAATTAATTATTTGTTATTATATTTTCTTATTTTCGCATTTTTTCATATTTATTATATTAACTACTTGAATCATAATAATTTACTCTTTTTTATTATAAATAAGTCAGCTCATCAGTTAACTGAAACTTATAAAAGAGCTCGATTTTGAGTCCGAACTCTATTAATTAATCAAGTGAATCTAAGAGTGACTCTAATTTTGTTTGACTCATTTACACCTCTAATAATGATATATTTCTCAAACATATATGAGGCTAAAATTTTCTTTAATTAATTTAAAAATAAATTAGTAAAAATATGTTTTAGCCTTTATCTAAGGCTTTGTTTTGGACTGTTTTCTTACTACTTCTTAAGTAGCTTTCTAGTACTAAAAATCTGCTTAAAGAAATAATAAAAAGTTGTCTCAAATAAATTCTAAATATTATTAGTAACGACCTCTTTTGAAAAAGCTTATCCTACTCAGCTTCTTTAAAAAAGGAAAAGAAAATAGATGATCTCATTCCTCAGCATCTCTTCTGTTTTATAGGCAAGTGAAATGTCATGACTAATAAAAAAACTTTGTTTAGGATAAATTTTTGGAATGATTAGTGTTGCGGGCTAGAATATACGCGATGATAGAGTTAGAATACTACGTCTTAGCGTTGCATGGATATGCAGCTCACACACAGAAAACGCAATATTTTTACGTAGAAAGCCCTGAAAAAAGGGAAAAAACCACGGGGTCTGGCCCAGTTGAAAATGATTCCACTAGAACTTGAGTTGGTTACAATGGGCTGACTCGCCTCCAAGGGCGATCGGATTACAAATAATAATTGTACTACAAAAGCCCGAGTGTCAAGTGATGTACCGGCATAACTTTAGGCTTTAGGTAATGGTCTGGCAGAACTCCAGGCCTGAGGTGGTGATCTGGCGAATACGAGGGCCTCAGGTGGTGGTCCGGTGAAGGCGAGGGCCTCAGATGGTGGTCCGGCGAAGATGAGGGCCTCATGTGGTGGTTTGGCGAAGGTGAGGGCCTCAAGTCTTGGTCCGGCGAAGGCGAGGGCCTCTGGTGGTGGTCTAGCAAAGGCAAGGGCCTCAGGTGGTGGTCCGGCGAAGCTCTGGCTGTGGTCCGATGAAATTTCGACAGTGGTCCGGCGAAACTCCATCGGTGGTCGAGGAGAGGAGCTTCTTCCTTCTCTTCCTTCTCTTCTCTTCTTCCTTGGATCCCCCTCTCAAGAGAAATGAGGGGTCTATTTATAGATCTTCTTGAGTGGTATGTCCCGTAAATAGGTGAGAGATCAGGGGTAAATGTGAAGTGGTTGGATGAACAACCGATATTGAATCCCTTGATTATGGACCGTTCGTCAGAAATTTGGAGGTCTTAATGATTTCAGAATTCAGTGATCTTGGGCTCATTAGATTCATCTCGTCGAGATGCTCGATTATATTATAAGCTTCTTTTGTTTGGAAACTGTTTGGTAACTCAAACAGTGGTACGAAGCTTCCAATAGCGCTTCAGGTCCTTAATTTGGACTCATTTGGGCTCAAATTGAGTTGAATTTGGTGTCGTTGGGTTTGTATTTCCGAGATGCTCAGTTTGACTATAAGTTTGCTGAAATCAGAGTTCAGATGATCCCAGATTTAATTTTTGAAGTTTCAGGCTTGATTTTGTCTCGAGATTAGTGCCTGATCAAGACAATTTTTTGATGATATATCACTTCAAAAAAATCGTTATCTAGTGATGGAGGTTGGAAGGATCATTGTAGGTGATGGAGGTTGAAAGGACCGTAGTCGGCAGGAGACCGGGGTTAGAAAGTGTTGTTTGTTGATGGAGATCGGAAGGACCATACTAGGCGATGGAGGTCGGAAGGACCGTAGTCAGTAAGAGACCGGGGTCATAAAGACCGTTGTCTGGTGATGGAGGTCGGAATGACCATAGTAGGTGATGGAGGTCGGAAGGACCGTAGTCGGTAGGAGACCGGGTTAGAAAGTGTTGTCTGTTGATGGAGGTCGGAAGGACTATAGTAGGCGATGGAGGTCGGAAGGACCGTAGTCGACAGGAGACCGGGGTCAGAAAGCATACGTTGTCTGTTGATGGAGGTTGGAAGGAGCATAGTAGGCGACGGAGGTCGGAAGGACCGTAATCGGCAGAAGACAGGGATAAAAAAGATCGTTATCTGACGATGTAGGTCAGAAGGATCATAAAAAGTGATGTAGGTCAGAATGGTACCGTAGTCGGCAGGAGACAGGGGTCCGAAAAATTGTGGTCGTAGGGTGGTACTCTGGTAGAACTCTGAACATCAAGTGGTGGCCTAATAGAAGTTTGGGTCTCATTTGTAATCAACTACAAATACTAGTGGATTCATTCAAATTGGGCCAGACCTCGTGGTTTTTCACCCTTCAAGAGTTTCCACATAAAAGCTCTGGTGTCTCTTATGAATGTTACACCCTCTCTCTTATCTGATTGTGTACTGAATCTTTATGCAATGCTAAGACGTTAAAATATATAATTCTCTACCGCCGCAAATATTCAAGGATGCAACAGTTAGATTTATTTTAAATAATATAATATAAATTTAAATAATTAATCTTCTATAAAATAAAATTTATTATTTAAATATTTATTATGTTCAATGAAAAAAAAAATCAAAGTGATCATATACAATTTTTCACTGCTATCAGTTGCTTTGAGATGTTTGTGAGGGTTTGAGGATTTTATCTTTCTTTTAATTTAAAAAAAAACATAAATAATTTTAATATAATTAAATTTCTCTTTAAGATAAATGCAATTCATGAATAATTAATTAAAATTTATAATATTTATAAAATGAAATATCTTCAGCTTAAGAAAAATCTTAAATTCTAAATTAAATTTGATTAGAATATGCTGATGGATTACTTTCGTCCTGAAACGTCAAAACATTCAGATTATGTACTCAACTTCCACAACAGGAGCCCACAGACAAGTCACCAAAGTTAGCTGCAGGGGTACTATGTTTAGAACATCCATGGCCCATACAGCTAGTTATTCGTAAAGCCTATATATATTGTTTTATACTCTTCTATATTAGTAAAAAAGCAATTATGCTCAAGGAAAATTCAACCACAATGCTAATTAAGAAGAAACCTCTGGTATTTAATACTCCAGTAGTCCAATAACACAGAGGATTCATGGCTGTGAGGAGGACCCATGAGGGAATTTCAGTAAGAAAGAGTAGCCACATCAAGAGAAGATAAGAAACCATGGAGTTAACAGAGTTGTGCAGAGATATGCCAAAGAAAACCATAGATATGCAGAGGTAAAATATACTCTAAGTCCTAAAATACAAAACACCTATCAGGCTATCATCGCAGGAACTGAGTAAAAAAGAAAAAAGACTGAATGCAAAATAGTGAGTGGACTCTGAAAATCAACACAGAAACAGCCATGGGATCTTTTCCTCTCTTGTTTCCAGTCACAATCATCTGCAGGAAACAAAGTAGGCAAAACGATACGAGGATTAGTACCTTAAAAGAGAGTTATTGTTCAAGTTACTTTGGAGTAGAGGAGAGTAAAAAGACCATTTTGGGAAGGAGATGGAGAGCTGAGTTTTAGTATAGGAACTGTTCTCGTCTTCCATGTCCATCCATGGATCCTTATTTCTCTGAGGCCACTCATCAAAGAAATGGCGGAGGTTCCTCTGCCTTTCCTCCTCTTCCTCCTTAGATAGAGAGTAGCTGTTCTGCTTTGCTTGTCCAATGGAGCTCATTCCCATAGCTTTGAACTGAGATGAACTCTCCCTCTCAGTTCCAGACATATCAGGAAAGAAAGTACATCCCTCCAAATCTTTCATCACATGCCCACCATACCTGCGTCCCTCGTGAAACAAACAACTTTATCAAAAGAAACTACTTAAATTTTTTTTTAAAAATGTAAAATTAGAAAGAGTTTATCAGAGTTTAACTGAAGATGTGAAGTGCCTGAATCAGCAGAGAAATGAGCCGCCCATGGAGGTCTTGAATAGTTTGAATAAGGGCATGAGAGGTTGTAATTACTCTGAGGAGTGGAGATTGAAAGGTTTGCAAGATATGGCGACTGAGCAGAAGAGGGAGAAGAAGAAGAAGATGACTGATTCGTTTTAGCAGAAAGAGAGATTTCCACAGGCTTTCTTGAACGATTTTTCCCTCTATGCATGTGCCTCTCACAGTACTTCGAATCAAGGTAAGCTTCCTTTGAGCATCTCCACTTCTTTCCATCTGTTCTCCTGCACCTTCCTGGCTCTGGGTCCTCTGCTTTCTTACCAAATCCCATTTGAAAGCAGCTCCATCCCACTGCCATGAGAGAAAAGTAAGAAACCAAAAAATACAGAGCTGAGTAAAATGAGAGAGCTTACATTGCGCTTGAGTAGGGAAAGCAAGGGAAGGAGAGGTTGCAGTTGAGTCAAGGAGAAAGCTCCTTCTTATGGGGAGGATGAGATCAGAAGGAATGGGAATGCCTGAAGCTATGTATTTGTAGATGAGAGCCTGGTGTTCAAGCTCCTGCCATTGGGAAGCAGTGAAGGGATATCTTGAACCGCCACTTCCGCTCATCATCTTCTTCTCTTACAACAGAGAAGCAGAAAAAGAAAACTTGGAGAGGAGAGGAACTCCTGAATCTTGATACCAGTGAAGCTATGTGTGCCTACAGAAATCTACATAGGTCTTGTATTTTAATGGGAGGAGGCATAGGATGGGTCATTCAGTCTTGAAAGAGGTGCAGAGAGGAGGCTGCAGAATCTTCTGTGTAGTTGCATGGATAAATCACAGAAGACTACCATTAGGCAACTACTGTTGTGAGGAGACCACAGACTAGGAGCTCAAGCGTGACAAAAGAATTTGACAATAAATTTAGCATTTTAATAATAAATGTAAAATTTTTATAATTATTATAAAACTAAATATAAAGAATTTGATAATAATATATTTGTTACTCATATTATAATTCCATACCTGAATAAAAACTCTCCTTAAATAAAAATAAATAAAGTTTTTAGGGCATCTCTCCTAATTTTTAATCCAAAATGCAGTGAAACTTAAAAATGTTCTGAATCATCTCCAATTGAACTCCATTAGGTCATCTCCAACAGAGAACTCCATTTTTCACGGCAAAATACAGCAAAACTCCAAAATGCTGTGGTGCTGCTCCAATCGAACGTCATTTTATTGTGTTTCTACTAAGGTAACAATCCTTCTCCCTTTCGCGCATTTTTCCAGTTGAAAGAGCAAAATAGCGTAGGTGAACAATGCAACGCCAATATTGACGTCGCACTGTTCACCCGCAAATAAATGGTGGAAGATTTGACATTCAGCTGGAGCGAGCGAACGACGTCATAAGCTCGTTTGGCATTCGGTTGGAGATGCTCTTATGCGGGTTTTTGCGAAGGTAACGGTATTTCTCCTCTTTGGCACGTTTTTTTAACAAATCTGATTGAGACAGAAAAATGACGTTGGTGAACACTGTTCACCTGCATGCATATAACGAAAGATTTGACGTTTGACTGGAACGATCTAACGATGTCATAGACATTTGAAGTTAGGTTGGAGATGCTCTTAGATAGTTTTTTAAGGATTGGAGCATCACTCTTTTTAGCATTAATAATACGTCTATATTACCATATAATACTTATCACTAATCTTGATTAGCCTTCTTAATCGCGTTTAGTGAGGAACTAATGACTACTTTTGTGCAGATAAATATTGAAAAAAATCTATTAAAAACTCGGATTTGATAGGCGCTAATGGAGTTGTCAGAGGCTGCAGTAGATGCTGCATCTGGGGGGCAGATGACACTGCATTACTTATTATTATTATGACTGAGTAAGCAGCAGCAGCGGCAGAAGCAGGCAAGTTGGCAGAACAACAGAGCAAAAATGGCAGAGAAATGGCAGAGAGCACACACTCTCTTTCTCTCTACTCTATTACTCCACTGTTCCTGTCTTCTCCCGCTGCACCAGCTTTTCGGAAACTCATAAAAATTTGAAGTCTCGGAGATATTAAAAAATAAAAATGATAGAAAGAAGAATATTATAATACTAAAATTAAAAATTCAAACTCTTCTCATCTTGATTAAGAGTTATGAATCTGAGGAAGATCAAAGTGAAAATGAGAGTGATTTGAATGGAGGACTAGTATTGATCCTCTTGATCATGTATAATTTATTGGTCATTTGAATGCCTTAATGATTCAGAAACCAATGATCTTGGGCTCATCGGATTCGTCTCGTCGAGCTGCTCTATTCGTCTATAAGCATGTCACGTTTAGAACTCGTTTGGTAATCCAAATAATAGTTTGAACCTTCCAAAAGTACTTTGAACCCTTGATTTGAGCCCATTTGGGCTCGAATTGCACTTATTTTGGTGTCGTTGAGTTCGTCTTTTCGAGACGTCCAGTTCCACCATAAGTTTGTTGAAATCAGAGTTTGGATGGTCAGAAGATTTCAACTAAATTTTGCTTCAAGATTCATGCTCGATCAAGATAATTTTTTTATGATATATCAAGAGTGATAGAAAAAAAAATTGTAAAAAACATAATGTTTACTTAAATGATAGTTTTATTTATTTATTTATTTTTTGAATTCAAATAAATTTTCTTGCAGATTTATTTGATGAAAGCAACAATACTGTACAGGAAAGCAGAATAGAATAGAAAGCTTAATGAGTTGTGAGATGGTCTTCTTTGACTGTTTTGGTTAGTTACAGTGAGTTGAGATTGCTATAACTGATTCTAACTATTATGATGTGATTTGAAGTTTTATAAGCAGTTCTTTGGGTACATTTAGTTATTAAGTTGTATAGTTTTGCATTTGGTTTTATCTTCTACAGCATTTGATTTATTTTTTTTTTTGTTGCGAAGTTTGTAATTTTGTATTACATTTTATCTGATATTTTTGGTACATATTTATATTAGTTTAGAGATAGAAAGTGGGTGTAAGGACTCTCTACTGCTGCTGTTTCTCACTTTTTACTTCTCTGCTCCTTATCACATCCTTTCTCCTAGGGGTGTTAATTTCGGGTCATGAGTCGGGTTCGGGTCGAACCTGAAACTGACCTGGCACTATTCTGGTCAACCTGAACCCGACCCGTTTTTAAAAACGGGTCAGTTTTCCTGACCCGAACCAGACCCGCTTCGGGTCCGGGTCAACCCGACACGACCCGAATGACCCGTTTCCAACAAAAAATTGCTAGTTTTCGGGTCAAAACGGGTCTATCTCCTTTTTTTACGGGTAAAAAACGGGTCTATCGCCTCTTTTTTGGGTCATTTGCCGGGTCAATCTCAGGTTGCCATGTCAAAATCGGGTTTTCGGGTCAAAATCGGGTCAATTTTGGGTCAAAGGGCTAACCCGATCCGATTTTTAAAACGGGTCGAATGTTGAACCAGAACCCGACCCGTTTCGGGTTCGGGTTGACCCTAACCCGAAATTTTCGGGTTGGGTTCGAGTCTTTCGGGTTGGGTTCGAGTCGGGTTTTCGAGTCATGTCAAATATTGACACCCCTACTTTCTCCCTTCGAACCTCCAAAAAATTTATAATTAATAGAGGTTAATTTTGCTTACTTAAAGCCTTAAAATTAAGGCTTCGTTTAAGACAATTTTCTTCGTACTTCTTAAAACGGTTATTTAGTACAAAAATTAAATTTTTTGTACTAAAAGTTACTTTAAAAAGCAATAATAAAACCGTCCCAAACGAAGCCTAAATCTCAAACACGTGTACTACATGTAAGTCTTGAATTCAAGATCTTTTAATTGAATGTCTAAGAATTTGTTTGGGGCTGCTTTTTTACTGCTTTTTAAAATAGATTTATAATACAAAAATTTTTTAAACAAAAAAAAAATACTAAAAAACTGCCTCATAAATTAATAAGAAAATCGTTGCAAATGAAGCCCAAACTTTCTACTAAATAGCAAGTTAAGATGGGCTGCATCCTGACTCTATTTTGATTTCCTAAACCTCTATTTGTTTGAATGTTTTGTCTGATAATGTTATATTGATCTTATTAAACAATACTATTTTATATAAAGTAAAATTACCACTAACCATAATAATTAATTATTAATTATGCTCATATTCAATAAATTTTAAAAAACATACATCACATGAATCTTTTTAGAACTTTTTTTTTTTACAATTTGAATTATCTTTTTTTTTATGTGTATCATAACAGTAATATTAATATTTTTATGATAATCACTTGTATTTTTACACCGACATTCTGTGTATCAATAATCTCACTTAACGATATGTTGTCTTTGTGAAATCTTCCCCTTTTTGACAAGAGACAAACTATGAACTCTCGTGTGTCATAATAAGTTTGACCTCAATATAGATATATTCGATCGGCTTAAAGATCTCGGAAATGTTCCTTATTTAATTTGAAAAAGATCAAATGATTTTGTTCATTTGGGTTCAAAAATTGGAACAAGCATTGATGATTAGTCTGAACTCGGGAATTAAGCTAAGCATCGACTAATTACAAGGAATTACAAACTGAAGCTTTGAGATTTGGCATGAAGTTCAGACAAAAGAGGTACTGGTTTTATGTGAGAGCTTTTTTAAAGTTAAGTCCGGCGATGATCAGAAGTCCAGCGGATGCGACTCGAGCGGGGATTCGGTATGGGCAACGACAGGATTTTGGTAGAGGTAAAATCTTTTATGTTTTTTTTTTTTTTTTTTCCTTTTGGGTTTTTTTTTTTTTTTTTTTTTTTTTGTTCCTTTTGGCTTGTCTGTTAGAGGTCAACAGGATCATGAAACTCTTTTACATCAATCACTTTCTTAATCTGCCGTTTCCTTTATGAAATTAGTTTTTTCGAGCTTTTGCCGGTTGCAAGGGAGGCGTGGAGAACTTTTGTCTGGCGACCTGAGGTTATAATCATGTCTGTTTGCTTACCTTGCGCAGTTCCGCCCCAAGAACGTGCCGTACGGCAAGTATTTCTCAAGTAGCTTCATTGTTTTGTATGTTTTTGTTACTGTTATTTGGTTTGTATTGTGTTTGTTTTCAGTCTAGTGGGATTGATTTCTGTTGGAATTTGATTTATGGGCAAGTATGTGGTTCTCAGCTGGGTCATAGCTGTTTATTAGTTATTCTAAATAGAAAAAAATTAGTCACCTGCATTAATCTTCCATCTATGAGTTCTTTTTTTTAAGGGGAGATATTGGAGGTTCGATTTCTATTTTAGCGCACTGAACTGATTTCCTGTGCTTGAATGAATGATATGATGAGAGCTCCTTGGTACTGTAGTTTTACTGGTAATGGAGATGAATATTCGGATTTATGTCTCGAAAAGTTGAGTTGTTTGGTTTTTTTTTTTCTGTAAATTTGTACTCAAGTGCTAAGGAATTTAGTGAGCCAAAACTGCTTGGAGCCCGTTGAATTAGGTTTACTTAATGTGAACCACAAACAATGGGGACTTGGAGAACAATTTGTTGTTTATTTTGAAGGGTTCGCTTTACTCTTTTTTTTGACTGAAGACACTTGCTTTATATCTCACCCTCATACAATAAGATTCATTTGATCCTTCCCGCTAAGTTCCCTTGGAACTCTTTTCTAATTAGAATGTTG